GTATATCGAATGTTTCTATTTTTAACTGTTTACGTCTTTTAGGTTCACTTTGTTTGTAAGTTCTTTTGAGAGATTTCAAAAGTTTCAGTTCTCCATGTCTTATGGCACGTTCTGTGCTTGTCATAGAAGAATTTGGTTCTGGGAGACTTTCGAGTAAATTGCAATCCTGCATGATGTTACATATATACATAAGCAACAAGTAGTATTAGGTATATGTAACGATATTAGATATCTATGTAACAAATGAAAGGTATAAACTAACTTGAAGTAAGTCTTTAAATTGAGTCCTTAATTTTGTCATTTCGTAGAATCGTTGTTCTTCCAAACCTCTTCTTTTGCACCATTTTCTGCTACTATTATTACTGCTTCTGTATTCTTGAGAATTTTCTTGTTTCACTTCTAGCCATTCTTTAAATGCATTCAATAATGTTATTGGATCACCATGATCGGATTCCAACTTCTTTCTAAATGTCTGCAATATTATCGAAATTGTTTAATTACGTAATTAGTAATAAGTGCAGTCGTTTCATTCGTAAGCATTAATTACCTCACATTCGGTATCCCTGTAAGCCCTATTTGTGAATGGTGTTTGTATACTTAGAGCAGCGGCCAGTGATAATACAGGTTCCACTTGATGAAAAATAGATCCCATTATTAACATCTTCCCTATTGTAATATCAACGGGCAGCCGTGCTAAGGTTTTACCGATACATGTGATCTTTTCGTTATCCGTAAGTGCATCCTAATAAGAAAAAAGTTATATTTTATATCTGGTATTTTGCGAGGAAAGTAAAATCGATTGGGATACCAACGTGATCTTTTAAGGATAGTATAGCATTCTCTATACTATTCGTTGGTGGTGGTTCTATAAACGGAAATTTTCGCGCATCAGGAAGTCCCATCGCTATCATTTGCAACAGTGAAGAATCTAAAGGTACACGTTGTAATTCTGGTGTTAAATATTTTTCCAACATCTTGTACTCTTCCTCCGAATAAATTCTATGAAAGTGGATGAAACAATATTATTTATTCCTGAACACTTTTTCATGTAAAATGATAGGAAATTCAGATTTTTATTTGGAACTATTATACCTATAACAAACTCCAGGTCCAGTCCTGCCTGCTCTTCCTTTTCTTTGTTCCGCACTAGCTTTGCTTATCCAAAATTCTTTTAATCTTTGCATTTTACACGATGGATCATAACTCATTTCCTTTACTTTTCCACTATCTGCGACAAATCTGATTCCATCAATGGTAATAGAAGTTTCCGCAATATTAGTTGAGACAATGCACTTCCTAACACCGTCAGGTGCATAGTCAAATACCTAAGAACGAAAAGAAAAAAAAACTTTTTGATATTCTTTTGTAATATATA